GAGACTACAAAGCCTGATGAATGGCTAGGAATCTGGACTCTACGTGAGGGTTGCTGGAGCCAGTGGAGGGGGCCCTGGAAGGATGGAGGGAGGCAGGCAGGCGCTGTGAGAGGTTTGACACCAGGAGCCAAACCCGCAGGAAGTAACCTGGAGGAGGTAGTGTGAGCCACGCAATGTGCTTTCCTTGTAGGCGTCCTAGCAATTCAGACCAGCAGAGGAACAAAGTCATGTCTCCGAATCAGTATTTTGTAGGATCCTTTATAAAATGTCAAGAAAGTCTGGAGCCCAAATAGAGTTCCAGAAAAATCAGACTTCTTTATCAAGAAATATCGAGGATTGTGAGTTATTCTTATTTGAAGGGGATAGGGTAGGAATCACTCAAGTGACCCAGAGGGAGACTGTCACCCTATGACACTCCTCTTATTGAGATAATTTAGGATAAACAGATCAGCCCAGCCGGCATGGCTCAGTGGTTGAGTATCCACCTATGAACGAGGAGGTCAAGGTTCGATTCCCAGTCAGGGCACATGCCTGGGTTGGGGCTTGATCCTCAGTAGGGGCATGCAGGAGGCAGCCAATCAATGATTCTCTCTCATCATTGATGTTACTCTCTTGTTCTTTTTTCCTTCCTCTCTGAAAGCAAGAAATATATATCTATATCTATATATCTATATCTACATATCTACCTGTCATCTATCTATCTATCTATCTATCTATCTATCTATCTATCTATCTATCATCTATGTATCTATCTATCTAGCTAGGATAAACAGATCAATGGGTGTCTGCCACATTATTGTGAATAAGAATGCAATTTCAATCCTGTTCGGATAAATAAATGTGGGACATAGCCAATAGAGCAGAGAGTGTTGGTTGCATGATTAAAAAAAAATATTGAGCTTCAAAGAGAGAATCAGCATAAATATCAAACTGACATGAATTACAGGACCTGATTGGTGGACCTGCATAGGGAATTGGGCTAGTAGGAGGACAAAGGTAGCATTGCTAAACACTTCTGGAAGCCAGTGGGCTCATGAAGGAGGCCTTACAAAGGCCTGCGAATTCGAGAATTTGTTCTTCTCCAAGACTGTCTCTCGGTGTCTCTCACCTGGAGAGTATAGTAGTTGACATCATCAGAAAAAGTTTTTTTGTAATTGTTGAACCATTTCCTGTAATTGCTTCCTTAGCCCTGAGGTTGGTTTTTAGAGCCGGAATGATGAATTTTTCATACTATATTATTTTCATATTCCATGTGCGTACCTCATGCAAATTGACTTTCTTATAGCCTCTCCCTGACCTTTCCCTCATTGAACGAAATTAAATTGTACAAGGAACCTGTTTAGGAGATGTCTCTGTGAGGAAAATGGCTCTTCTACACGGTTCAGGTTTAAGAGAAGCCTTTAGCATTGCAAGTCAGCAACCCCATCACATAATGAAATAAAAACCTAGGTAATCGGTAAAAAAAATTAAATCATTTTTGTCTGTGAACAGAAAATACACAACCTGCCGTTTTATTTAAGTTAAATGAAAATATTTTGTTTGCTCAGAATGGAAAGGAAATAGCAAGGTTTAAACTGTTATTTTGGGGTGGGGGGCGGGGGAGAAAGTGCCTGCATCAATTAACTTAATATTTTCAGGATTTGAGGGTCCTTTTTATACCATATACTGGCATATTTGACATTTTCCCCCTGGCTGCTTGAAATTGGGGAGACACATATTGAGAGAAAGATATTCTGGTTCTGTAAATACTCTGAATATCCTCAATGCCTGCTTCCAATAACATATTCATAGCCTAAGAAACAAACAGACCAAAGCAGTCTTGGATACCTAGACACAAAAATGATATATATTTTTTTGGCATGTAGTTCCAAATAATAAACTACTTTCTATTTTATCTGAGAGTGTTTTAGGGGAATTTTACACCTGGTGATTTCTGCAGGTTGTGTATTTTCTGTTCACGGAATCTCGGCTGCCTCCTAAAATTCGCCGTAACCTTCTGGTGCTCGGCGGCGCCCATGCCTCGCATACTAAAGAAGGAAAACTTTGGTCTTCCCCTGAGCCATTTATTTTAAATTCACACAGCATCTTATTTTCAAAACTCTGAAATCATATTACATGGATTTGACTTCCTTTATCCAAAGATCCTAATTCAGTTTTCGTCTGAAAGTGTTCCTGAATGTAATGGTATGCATGGGATCAAAAATAGAAGTATGGGTGTTTATTTTTGCACCCAAAACTGTGTTGTACGTAAGCCAGGTTTAAAGGGAACGCACCTACAAGGAGAGAGTTTCTAGAATAATCTCCATAAACTACTACTTAGATTAGGAAGCCTGGAGTCTGAGAGAGAAAACAACCCCATCTGTAAAATAACTCAAGACGCGATTGATATTTTAGAAATTTTAATTTTAAAAGACGTAGAAAAAAAGAATAGCATACGAAGTAGTAGAATTGTCAAGCTTGTTGACTTCGAGGCTTATAAAATAAAAACAAACAGATTCCATATTGGTTTAATGAAGTCTATAACTCAGTTACACACAGCATATTAATGTACGTACACAATTCTTTCTTCATTCTCTGCTTCTCCCCCTGCCCTACACACCACCATACCCCCAATCCCTATTTCTGTCAAAGCTATACCTTTCTTTCTATGTGAATTCATCGTTTTGGTATGATTTTAATGCTATGTTGTGTAGCATAATTAGAAATTTTTAAAAGGGTATATTCATAAAAAAAACTTGCAAATTTATCATCGTGGTGTTACATTTGATATCTGAATCCCTTTTTTCCCCTTATCACTGAAGTCAAGTCTGGTCTGAATCATCACTTACACTGGAAGAGACCTGAGCAAACCAAACAGTTTATACCTTGGCCAAAGATTTAGCCTTGAAAAGTAGGAGACAAAAATTAACCTTTATAATCATTTTCAGTTTTCACTTTTTATAATACTAATTTTAACCAGTGTTAGTCATCCCTGCATTTATTTTTGTAGATATATTAGACTCTGGGAAGCAATTAGTAAGTATTAAAACGAATCAGTAGGGGTTTTTATAAAACAAAAGAATAAATCTACAGCTCCAATTAAGTCTTTTAAAAATTATCCAATATCTAAAAATTACAGTAGCTTCTATTTCAGAATGAATTTTAAGAGCTCAACTCATTTAATATGTAATGCATGTCTTCAGTATAAAAGCCAGATGGAACTATCTATGCTTAGTATTTTAATATTGAGTATTTATCAAATATGCAATTTTAATATAAAACTAATTGAGTCTCTTAGTCCTTAAAAAAAAATTTGGAAGCCTGGAACTGTGTACATATAAGACTAAAATTTAAACTCACTTAGAAATTATGGCTAACATGTTTAGATACTATGCCAGCAAGAATAGCTCATTTTCCCCCACAAAATAAAATGATCTGAACTTTCATTACTCCAAATATTACATTCAATTAAATTGTAGTATCTTTAGCATTTTTTAGATAAAATAAAATGAAAAACAATTGATTCTAAAATATAGTTTGTATTTCTTTCAATAATGATGGACATGCATGTGTATACTAACTATACATATTTATAACATCAGCAAAATCACCCTTGAAAGACAGAACCTCGTTTCAGGATGAGTTCTGACCTAAGGTTTAATTTCCAGTACAACAAGCAAGATGACTTTTTTTGACAGGTTGGTGTATTTGATATACTCACCTGATACTGTATTTTATAAGAGAATCCTGATACTCAGTGGGCACTGGTCAATTTCTTTGCCGTGATAACTATGTAATGCCACCTTTAGAGATGCATTTTCTGACTCAGGCATTCACTGGAGGCCCCTGTCTACTTCCGAGGTTCTGTGTGAAAAATTGACAATGAGGATACCTTTTCCTTTTTTAAGACAGACTCTGATCTTGCTGGAGCATATGCAATAATATTTTCAGTATTCAGGGATTACAAAAATACTTGTTTTCACATGATTTTTTAGAACACAATATTTAGTAGTTTTATTGATTTTATTTCTCTCCAATTACTTTTTATCTGTTACTTGTAATCCTAATTTTTAAATCAAAATCCTCTGCAAAGTATAAATATTGTCTGCTTATATTACCTGCAACATCTGCCTAAGGATTTCCCTTTATGAGGAAGAAATAGTGTGCTGTGGCAGGGCAATTATACTTAGTAGACTGAAGAATAATTATAATTTTTATTTGTCTCTTAAAAATCAAGCTGCTGATCTAGATCTATTTATCTCAACACCCTGAAAACTTCTTTTACCTAAAATTCTTGGCAAAATTGCCACGTGGAGAAGAAGAAAAACAAAAAAAAATAGAAAAGAAGAAAAACGTGTCCTAAATTAGCTAACAAAAAGTAAATTAGCAGACTCAATTGTAAAGTTCTTGTTTCCTTCATGTGATTTTTTAAAAGTGAATGTATTTATTATATTTCACAATAGATGGGCTTAGGAATTATATCTAAATATATAAAAGCCTAAGCAACTGGCTGACCAGACAACCGCTGACCAGCCAACTGGCTGGTAGCTATGACGTGCAATGACCACCAGGGGCAGAAACTCTGACTGGTAGCTATGATGTGCACTGACCACCAGGGGGCAGGTGCTCAGTGCAGGAGCTGCCGAGATGCAGTGACTTGGCAGCTGTGGTTCTCAAATCTGGAGCCCGATTCTGGGGTGTGTCACCTGAGAACTGCCCTCTTGCAATCTGGGACCCCTTGGGGGATGTCAGAGAGCCAGTTTCAGCCCGATCCCCTAGGCCAGGCTGAGGGACCCCACCAGTGCACAAATCTGTGCACTGGGCCTCTAGTAGATAAGTAAAATTTTATGGGTTGACTCTTGATCTTTTAATGAATTTACTTCATTGTTTCAGGTGTCATTTATATATTATTTTTTGGTTGATATTCATTTATCAGTGTCTGTTCACATCTACTTTTCTGATTATGTATGGAATGAAGTCAGGTGGAAGGTGTGACGGAATATACTGGCAGGCACAGTATGTATTGTTAGAATAAAAGTTTTGATTTACGTTCTTAAAATCCTCTTACATGACATATTTTATTTTGTTCACATATGCTATGTCTTAGAGGCAGATGTACCACCTCGCCCCCCAAATGAGCAAAATTAATTTTCTTTAAAACCAAATGGCAACATCCGACTTCACGTCCTGGAATTCGTTGTAGGTGAAGGAACGTGACCGCCTTCGCAGATTGGTGGGTCTCTGAGGCCTCCCTTCTACCAAGTCTGAATAGATGTCAGATTTCAGGAACCGCGTGTAACTGTCTTGTTCCATCAGCTGATACACTCTGCTCTGCGCAGCATCAAAACTGTGCAGCGTGGGCTGCGTGATGCTCTTCACGATGAGTTCTTTGGTGTGAAAGTCAAGGTTAACCTGGATCGTAATTTCACAAAAGGGTAGTTAGGGTCAGTGGATGGAAGTAAACACCTTTGAGAAACAGCACAAGACTATTCTATGTCGGCGTGGGCATGTGCTTGGGTGCTGGGGGGCTCAGCCTGTCATGGGTCGAGGGGTTGGGTGATTGACTCTTGGGTGGCATCGCATGTGGCTCTTGTCTCCCCATTGCTGCTGGTCCTCCCCCCTCGCTTCTAATCGAATAATGGGACGTTGTAATAGCAAGTACCCTAGAGGTCATTAGATCCCACTTATTTTCAATCATTAGTAAAATCATGTTCATTGACGGCCAACAGGGAGTTTAGAGCCTATTTGGGATTTCAAAGTGGGCCTTTTGTTTTATCCCAGCACTTGTTTTCATGCGATGATGATGCTTTCCTACAAGCACATGTGTGCTGAGAATGAATATGTTTAAAAAATGTAAATCACTGAATGCTTTTTATCAGAGCGCCACTGATATATCAGGTTCTGATGGGTGAGTTTTCAGGGGTGTCTTTCCTTTTCCCTCCTGGGTAACACCTTACACCTAGCTGCTTTTTCTTGGTCTGTGTATAAGGTTGGCCCTGGGAAAATCAGAATCATACATTGAATCACAGAACAGAATGAAACATCCTGAAGCAAGGAGAACAATCATTATTTTCAGTGTCCACCAATATCCACATAGACGAGGTCACCTCACGGGCCATACAAATTTGTAGTCAAGTAGAATTCTTAGCAGTGTAGACTGCTAGATCTACCCCTTCAGCAAAGAAACACTGTTTATTTAACACATAATAAAAATATAGAAACTACTGAGTTCATATTTGAGGGTAGGTAATATTTGCTATTTTTAGCAGTTGTGTCACACAATTACCTCACACTGAGCTTGCAGTCAAAGACAGTCACAATTGTGTTGTCACTTGGTCCGTTGCCAAATTATGTTTTTCTCATCTATTATGATTTTTTTTAGTCTATCGTAAGGAGGAGGAATAATCATTTCGAGGCAAATAAAAGCTTGTATAGGTAGATGAGCTAAAGTGGTGCATGATGCCAACTTCTTGGTTTCTCTTGCCTTTATCTTTTGTTTCTATGAGAGTTTGCTTATGCTAAGATGGCCCTAAACGGTTTAGCTCAGTGGGTAGAGCGTCGGCCTGCAGACTGAAAGGTCCCAGGTTCGATTCCGGTCAAGGGCATGTACCTTGGTTGCGGGCACATCCCCAGTAGGGGGTGTGCAGGAGGCAGCTGACCAGTGTTTCTCTCTCATCGATGTTTCTAACTCTCTATTCCTCTCCCTTCCTCTCTGTAAGAAATCAGTAAAATATATTAAAAAAATAAAGATTATGATAAAAAAGATGATTAATATGAATAAGTGACTGATTCTCAATGTTGCAAGTAATTGTGTTCACTCTTCGTCTAGAATCAAAATAACCCTGAGGAGCAGCCTCGATTAGACCTTTTCTTCCGTGACAATGTCTTACAACAAGTTCTGTTTGAGTGGAGAAATCTAAAAGGACCCGTTCTGCTTCCACAAAATCCTGGCCTTTCAGGTGGAATGTAGGGGGTGGGGAGGTACCAATTTGAGGAAGGCAAATTCTCTCCCCAAATTTTCAAACAGTTGTACATTTTCCTAGTTGTCTTTACCTCCTGTGGGGCATCATTCTGGATAAATCTCTCATATATTGCTTTTGCTTTAAGAATCATTTGTTGAGGGTCTTTGCTTTTCTTGAAGTCTTCGCAGGCCATCCAGAACTCAATGTTTTCCTCGCTGAATTCGGTTTTAAGAAATCGGGTGAAAGTCTCCAGTCCATCTACCAAGAAAGGAAGTGACACATTTTAACTATCATAAAATATTAATGCGGAGAAAAGGCACTGCCTGCTATTAAAGTAGAGCCAGAAATACGAACGGAACAGCTAGGTCTTCTCCACGGCAGCACAGCAACCCACTTCTTGAACAGTATCCATGAGGGACCTCATAGACATTAGCTATAATCTTCACAGCTGTGAAAAGGAGCCATCATTCCTGTTGAAATGAGGCTGGGCTCATACATAGACCTGAGTATGAGTGACCCCCCACTCTGGAACTTGCTTAGGGTCTGTTTCAATCATGCCTCTTCCCCGGTGTGTGTGCGTGTGTGTGTGTGTGTGTGTGTGTGTGTGCGTGTGTGTGTGTGTGTGTTTTACTCTATACTATAGACGCCATTCCACCAGGACCCCTTCTCCCTTTCTAGACCATATTCTGGTACCCAGGACTCTAGATCTCCCTGTTTAAGACTCTTTTTCCAGGGTTTGTCTGCTCAACTCATTTTCACTTACATCCACTTCTTTGAATTAATTATTGATTTTTTTTTTTGAGAGAGAGACATCGATTTATTGTTCCACTTACTTATGTGCTCATTGGTTGATTCTTGTATGTGCCCTGACCAGAGATTGAACCCACAGTCTTGGCATATCCACTTATCGGGATGATACTCTAACCAACTGAGCTACCCAGCCAGGGCTATACTCATTTCTCATGTTCACTACTCTCTAGGACAGTGATGGCGAACCTATGACATGTGTCGGAGGTGACACGCGAACTCATTTTTTGGGGTTGATTTTTCTTTGTTAAATGGCATTTAAATATATAAAATAAATATCAAAGTCTTTGTTTTACTATGGTTGCAAATATCAAAAAATTTCTATATGTGACACGGCACCAGAGTTAAGTTAGGGTTTTTCAAAATGCTGACACGCCGAGTTCACCATCACTGCCCTAGGACTATTTCTCATGGTCAGTGATTATTTGTAACAGAACCAGTTCAATACAGAAGGAAGCAAGAAGAATAAATCCCTTTTGGTAGAATCGTGGCAGTAATTCAGGGGTTTGCATTGATAACACGTGGAGGGGTTGTGAGGGCTAAGGGCTGTTTATACTCCTTTCTTGCATTTAATTTTTACAACGATGCCTGGAATATACCCCATGTTCATCGTCATTGACGAGGAAACTGAGTTTCAGATACGTCCAGTTGCCCCAGGTCTTATTTGTCCAACAAACAAAGAAATGGATCTAACATTCTGGAAGGCAGCACTTTCGGTGGCAGGCACAGTGACAGCCCTCCAAGGGCTGATCCCCCCGAAATGGTGACTGTGGCCTCACATGGGACACGGGCTTTGCTGATGGGACCACGGGGAAGGAGCTCGAGAAGGGAGAGCACGTGGGGGATCCAGGTGGACCCACTCTGATCACAGGTGTCTCTAAAAGCAGAAGTTGTTGTCAGAAGAGGTGGTCAGGGAGGTGCAGTGTGGGAAGGGCCATTGCTGACCTTAAAGGCATAAGAAGACGGTCATGAGCTAAGCATGCGGTGGGTTCTGGAAGGTGGAAACGGCCCTCAGTTTAGAGCCAGCAGGAGAATGGAGAGCTTCACCCAAAACGTCAAAAAACGCAATTCTGGCCCAAACCCAAATTACCCCTAGACCCTTCAGAAAGGGCACCGGCCTGTTGACACCCCGATTTCTTTACATGAGACCCATAGTGCACTTCCGACCTACAGGACGGTCCTATAATAAATGTGCCCTGTTTTAAGTCACTCAAGTTGTGATAAATTGTAATAGCAGCCTCAGAAAACGAATACAGTCCTCAAACTGTGCTTCACGCATCTCCATTTCTTTCTCCTACGTATAGAACGTTCCCTCTTTGTTATGAAGCCTTTTTTTTTTAAATGTTGTGAGCCATCTTTTGAATATATGAGGGATCCAGGAACGTCATGTTTGAGAAACCAGTAGTTAGAAGCGATGTGACTGACGTCCTAGACCAGTGGTTCTCAACTTGGGCTGCACATTAGAATCACCTGGGAATCTTTTGAAAATCCTGATTTCTGGGCCTCATCCTCCGAAAATTCTGTTTCTTTGTTGTGGGGTGGGGCCACAACATTAGTAACAAAGGAACAGAATTTCCGGAGGATGAGGCCCAGAGATCAGGATTTTAAAAAGATTCCCAGGTGACTCTAATGTGCAGCCCAGGTTGAGAACCACTGCCCCATAGGCATCACCTAAGTCTCAGATATGATGTGGCTCCAACCCCACCTCGATGAGAGCCACCTGGGTGTTTCATTGGCAGGAGGAGGGAGTCCGCCATTTCTTTTCCCCAGTAAATTGGCCCAGGGCACCAGCTGATGGTGATTAAACGCTGGTGAAGGAACTAGGAAAACAAGCAACGTCGGGCTCAACAAGACTTGGAGGAGACATCGTGCATCTGGGGCGCGACTCAGGACTTGTCTCCGTCATTAGATGCCTGTAGTGTGGTCGCTCTTGGCCCAACATGACCGTCTTACGGAGGCCATAGTGCTGCGCGCTTCCTGAGCGAATGGACTGATTTCTGATCCTGGAGCAGAAGCTGGAGTGGTCAGCGTGAGTGATGATTAGCACACTTGTTCTTGTTTCTCCAGCTTAGAGCTTGGTCTTCAAGATGAATTTCTTAAGCTAAGTCTTGTGCTTTTTCTCAGTAGGTAGCAGGAAACAGGAGTGGACAAATGATTCTTTGAAGAATTTTTTTTTTTACTATTATTTTTATATATTTTTTACTTTTTTTTTTTTACTTTTCCCATTGCTATTTATCCCTCTATGCCTTCTACCACCTCCCCTGCCCGCCAACACCACACTGTTATCCTTTGAAAACTTTGACAGAGAGAAGATTTCCCCCCAAATACTTAGAACTGTATGTACCTCAGGATAAACTTAATGACCTAGTTCTGTTTTTAGTATTTTTTTAAACCGAAATCTCTGCCAACATGAGCAGCATAGGAGTCAGACGCGTGGGTTTTACTAGGGTTTATTCTCACGGCAAAGGCGCGGGATCCTTGGTTTTCAGGGTGTTTCTGTTGGGTTTCCTCCCCAACAACTCCTTTCACCCTCTTATCTCAGCCCCTGAACTTGTGAAAAAATGCTGAGTGTAGCTGTTGTTCTTTGAGCTGAGGTTCCTTTAATGGTCGAAAGCGATTATGATAATGGTGGCAGCACCCTCTCCTGACCTGGAGCCTGGGGCCGGAGACTTCAGGGATGGGTGGCATGAGCATCCTGGGGCCACTGGCTGGTAACAGCCTGAACACGTCTTCCTCTTCTATTTCTGAGACAGGAAAGGTGGCTGTGTTGCATCATTTCTGGTTTTACTGCTGCCTTTCCCCCCTTCCTCCTCTTTCTATATTGATTCTGGAAGGAAACCAGAGACGAAGGCAAAAACAGGCCTCTCAACCCCTCATTCAAAGCTGACGTAGAATTCGAAAGGTGGTCGGCCTGTAGGTCTCGAAAGCAACACCACAACCAAAACAACAGTCTGTAGGCCAGCGGGCGTGACCCGCCCACTGGAGTTGCTTTCGCCATCATAAGTTACCTACACGGTCCGTTTATAGTTTAAGGTGGATTTTACTTATTTTTATCCTTTAGATGATTAAGGAATTGGGTGTTTGTTATGGGTAAGCTTGATTCAGAAATTTTAATTTTGCAGAACAACAGAATCCCTTATCTCACAGAAAATCTGTAACTAAAAATGGGGAAGAGCAACTTTAAAAGCCACTAGAGATGAACAGCCTAAGGAGAAGTAGCCCTTTTCTTCCCCAAAAGAGAAGTACTCATTTCCTTGTCGCCTTTCCTCTCAACTTCAGTAATAAGTATTTTCCACAGTCTCATCAGTTCATGTTTTTAAATCAAGGGGGTGCAATGACATCCATCTTTTACTTGTCTTGCTTCATTATCCTCAGCATGAAGCTTAGTAGGACCACAATGCAGGGTGCAAAGAGTCCAAGCAAATAATCATTAAGTATAAAGGTTAAAAGTATGGGACGTATTCGCCAGGAGTAGGAAAAGAGGGCGCACAGGAAATAAACAGCTATGTAGTTGTCGGAAGATGCTCCTCATGATGGGGCTCCCTCAGAGGAGAGACCCTTCTCTTCCTCCTCTTCAGTTATCGGCTGTGTGAGAGTGTTAGATAATCTCTGTGTGTGGTCAAGCTGTCTTACACCTTCTAGGTGTGGGCCTCCAAAACCCTGTGAGACTTCTGAGGTTTCCAGCAATTAAGTTCGAACTCTAACCTGATATCGTCTCACGTATACTGTTCTATCTCCATTTCTCATCTCTAAAAGGCACGGCCACCTTCCTCTTAATATGGAATAGAATGTGGGGATCTTTTTAAAGTTATTTTTTTAAATCTCATATTTATTTATTTTTTTAAAAAATATGTTTAGCCCTAGCCGGTGTGGCACAGTGGATAGAGCGGCAGCCTGCGGACTGAAGGGTCCCAGGTTCGCTCCCAGCT